GTTTCACCCTTAGCCTGTGAGCTCCTCCAGGGCAGGGATTGGTCTCATTTACCTCTTCACTACTTACAAAGTGGCCAGTATATAGCAAGCATGAGTAAATACTTCCTTAATGAGGATGAAGAATCCTGTTTTCATTTTGGTACGGGCTACCAAGCAGCCCAGAAACACATTCCCAGATGATTTCACACCAGGGATGACTTCTCAATACACCAAAGTGGGTAGGGGTCAATTACTTGGGCTTTAGTGCCTAGAGCCCAACTGCCTGGGTCTGAATGCCAGCCTGGACGCTGGTAGCGTGACCCTCGGCAAACTATGGAATCCCTCTCTGCCTTATTCCCTCATCCATAAAATGGGGCTGAGGATGATAATAATATTACCCAGGGTTAAGTGATTGACATGCGTAACACAGTGTTTTTGCATGGAGCTAGATGCAAACATTAGCATACTCGTTTCGCATTCCTAGCACCGTGGGTCACTCCCAGGTAGGGAGTTGCTCAATAAGTGTCATCCAAATAAAAGCTAGTGTGCCAATCGAGACCTTGAGATAGAAACAGGAAGTCATGCTTGGTCATCATCCCCTTTGTCCATAGGTGGTTCTGCTGAATAGATCTTCTAGGTTTCATTAAGGGCTCCAATATCTCCCAAACACTGTAATTAGCATCTCCCCTATAATTCTGGGGGAACTTTGTATTCACTGGCCTTCTCCCCCTCTGCAGGCTGCTGGTGCCCCCATAATGCCTGCGCACCTCTTATCATCTACAACCTGCCTCTTAAGACTTCTCAAATGTTCCACCTTTCAGCTCCTCACGTGGCTTCTCAGAGTGACAGCTCCCCAGTCTCGCAAGCTGCTAAAAGGTACTGGTGTGTTCATGGGGGCTTTCCTCATCAACTTCCAAAATAACAGCCCCTTCCTTTAGCCAAGCTCTCCCGGAGGCAATCTATCAAAGCCCCTGAAGATTTACTCCCAAGGAAAGAATCATAAGCTATTGGGAAGAAACGCTTTGGGGAAAAAAGGCTTTTCAAAGTCCTGCAAGTCAGATCCTGTGGTCAGTAATCCACTCTGGCTACCCCAGCACCCTCTGGCCTCCAAGCTTCAGGCAAGAGTGAGCGAGCTGTGCTCTACCATTCGGTACGGCACTGAAGAGACACTCTATAAACTAGGGGACTAAATTGTCCCGAGTATAGTTTGTGATGTAACTTTTGTGTTTGAAGGAAATAGGTAACAGACAGTACTTAAGGGGTACAAACAGCTCTGTTCTTGGGATGCAACTTCTCATAATTTAAAAAAAAAAATAGGAAAATTGGTTTTTTTGAAACCATTTTTTTCTCTCTGTATTTGGGACGGTATCAGCGAGTACTCTCTTAGGAGGTTTAGTAGTGAAACAGGCAATCCTGGGCAATAAGTCCTTTTAAAACTAAACTAGGGAGGGGTGCCTGGGCGGCTCGGTCCGTTGAGTGGCCGACTCTTGATTTCAGCTCAGGTCATGATCCCGGGGTCGTGGACTGGAGCCCCACCTTGGACTCTGTGCTTAGCATGAAGCCCACTTAAAATTCTCTGTCTTCCTCTGACCCTCTCCCCCAGCTCGCGAGCACACTCTCTCATTCTCTCAAATAAAAGAACAAACCAAACAAACTCGTGATGTTATGAAAAAAGCTAAAGAAGTAATAAGATAATAAGAAAGAGGATTTTGATACACATTTTTAAATGCATTTTAATCAGTTTTACATTTTCTTTTCTTTTTTTTTTTAAGATTTTATTTTTAGGTAATCTCTACACCCAGTGTGGGGCTCAAACTCACAACCCTGAGATCAAGAGCCACATGCTCTACAGACTGAGCCAGCCAGGTGCCCAGTTTTACATTTGCTTAAAACCTGAATGAGCACTCCCTGGCCCAGGAGAAGGACTTGCTGAAGCATGCTTCTGGAAGTCTCCAGGAATGCTCCTGATTAACATATCGTAGGCATCTGAGAAAAGACTTGGAGATTAGTTTTCCAGTGTCTCAACTTGTTGCCTTTGGTTTTGGTTTACGTGACTTTTCGCAGAAACTCTAAAGATAAACAAAGAAGTATGTTCACTGCAACTCAGTTCTCCTGAATCTAAAACCTGATTACTGGTTAAGAAATTTTAAAAAGGATACGAGGTGTAAATGACTATCTTACCTACTTAGGTGAACATGAGCCCCACTCTGCATAAAACAGGAGTCTTGCTTCAGGTGAGCCCCGCTACTCTCTCTCTCTCTCTCTCTCTCTCTCTCTGCCTCTCCTGAGATTCTCTCTCTGTCCCTCGCTCACTTGAGCCTTCTCTCTCTCTCAAAAAAAAAAAAAAAAAAAAAAAAGTGGGCGAAGGAAAAGACAGGCCTATCTTATCGAGGAGATGGGGCAAAACCACATAGTCAATAAAGACCAGAGTTGAAAACCATCGATTTTAAGAGAAAGAACTTTAAGTATGAGCCCTCTTGCTAAGCAGGTAGGTTGATCTAACAGTAAACATAGGGTTGGGTGGTTGGTTTAGGTTTACTAAGAGATGTGAATTCTTCAGTAATGTATTCAACTTGTGATATGCATGCGCCCTCACACTTGCCTTTCATCTTACTCTCCCTGTAGTCTAGTT